TTGGGTGTTCAGGAGTCACAGGGTTTTGGGTTTTGGGATTTCTTGGTGCGCCGGTTCCCGGGAGCAGGGGCTTCATGGCCGTCACGCGGCAAGAAAGTTGCAGAAACACCCGGAACACATCTGACCAGTTGCCGAACGGTGTGTGTGGCTTACACCCCTTCTGGCGCCCGGATGGGGTGGGGAGGAGGGGGGGGTTTCTGAAAATTAGGGATCCGTAGAGCAAGGATCCTGCCTCTTGCTGTCGATGCTCTAGTCCACTAGTTTCCAGAACACCTCAGGGTTTTGGGTTTTAACAGCTAGGGTTGAAGTACCAGTTGTCGAATCCTTGAAACAGGAGCTCGAGCTCAGAGCTCAGGTGCGCAGAACTCTTCACCCCTGCACGACGCAAACCTAAAATCCAAAAGTAGACTCCCTGATTTAGTGCCCCGCTACCATGTACCTACGACATAGGGTACTAGAGCCCCTAGGGCCTTATATAGTCGGTACTCGGAGGGTTAGGTAGACTACACATCTTTTCATTCTGCATTCACAAATAGAACAAAACCTGCAGAAATCATTGGACTGCAGTCAGAAACGACGCTCAAACCCTGCACCCCCCAGTGCTAAGCCCCAAGACCTTAAGCCCTAAAGTACAAAAAACACAACACCCGTGCTTGAAGGTTCATGATCAATCAAATGGTAGCATTATAAGAACCCCCCCTGCGGGTTATTAGGAAATAACTCGAACTACACTTACCGCACCGATTATACATGCCAAAGCCCATGCCATTGGTCAGGCAATTTAGGCCTAGTTTCTCTTACTGTTCAGTGGATAGACAATCAAGTCGCAGGAAGAGCAACGGTTCAGGAGGCTTACCGGAACACTTTGAACTCCGAACCCTCAGCCCTAAACTCATAAGATGCCCTTCACCGGGAAACGGCTCACCAGTCACCTCCATACTGCCGGGAAATATGGGGCCAGACGACCGGCTGGGTCTTGTCAGGTTTAGGGTTTGCCTGAGCACTAAGCGTACTACGTGACATATCTCCTTACGCCTCCTTAGTCTTATGGCTTCCTTGGGTTTTTTGTGTGTTTAGGGTTTAGGGTTGAGGTTTTGGGAATTAAGTTTCAGGCTTATAAGGTTTAGGGTTTAAGGTTCGGGTTTACGGTTTGGGGTCCAAGTTTGGGGTTTAGGGTTTATGGTTTGGTGTTAGCGTGCGCAAAGTGTCGGGTTGATGACTTTCGGCTTTTAGGGTGTGGTGAATTGCGGTGTTTCGAAGGTTACGGGAAGTGAACTTCATGTTTCGAGGCTCTAACCCATTAAACCATTAGCCTTGAGTTCTCAAGCCGGAAACCCTACAAAAATCTAGATTCAAAATACCCTACAGACCCTAAAAGCCCTAGCTCCAACATGAAATGACAGGGGTGCTTTTTGCAAGACTTAAAGCCGAACCGGCTGGCCGTACATCCGGGCAGGCGATGGAGCAGGGGACGCCCTGTGGCATCTGCTTGGAGCCGCAGGCTTCAGGATAAAAGCTGAAACCGTATATAACTCCTAAAAAAAAAACACCTCTTCACACTTCGTTATACGGTTTAGGGTTTAGGGTATTGCGTAGTTCATTGAACAAGTCAGGAAAAGCAGGTCTTAGGGTTCGGGGCCGTAGAATGAGGGCTTTTAGGGTTTAGAGGTATACTGAGTCCCTTGGTGCTCTATGGAAGCCCACACCCGTAACCTTAGGAACTCTTTACTATCCCGGTGCATGTGAGCAAAAGTGCTAGATACATATGCTAGTTTCTAGACATTCCACTCATTCAGAAACCAAGCTGTTCGATACGTTCTTCAATCGAATACCAAGCTACTAAACGATTATTTTCCTTTATTCAGAAACCAAGGTGCTTTAATATTCTTCGTCTCGGAATCCACGTGACTTTCGACGCCCCCCCCCCAAAAAAAAAAACTAAACCCTAAACCCTAAGCCCTAAACCCTAAACCCTAAACCGTCGGCGTTCATTTCGATTGCTCTGCCCGTCTGAGCTGATTCAGCTGTCCTACCGAGCCCTTGGCCGGAATCTCTCGGTGGGTTTAGGGTTTAGGGTTTAGGGCTTAGGGCTTGGGGTTTAGGGTTTAGGGTTTAGGGTTTGGGGTTTGGGGTTTAGAGTTTAGGGCTTTTTTTCTAGTTTGGCCGAATATAGAGGCCTTAATAATTCGAGCAGGGTTTGGGGAGATTCTACTATAATTACAATAAGGAACCCACCCCAAAACTTTATAGGTGCTTATGAAGGCCCCTATATTACGTAGCGGTTGCAGGCACAGCTCTGAGGAATGCATCGAAGAAGAATCCGTCGAGGTCCTCGCCTCTTTAGGGTTCACGGTTTACCTGGACCCCAAATAACCTACCTTTTTTAGGGTTTAGGGTTTAGTGTTTAGGGTTAAACCTTATTATGGTTTCTTTATATAGGTCCTCAAAAAGGTAAGTTCTTTGGTGTTAAGGTAGGGCTTAGGCTTCACCGGGCTTTTGTTTTGGGATCCGGCTAGACTTATTGAACCCCAAGGCCAGCAACCCGGCAGTTGCGGCTTTTAAGTTGCGTTTCCGGATGTACCCTAGACTTTGAAGTAACCAGGGAGAAACAAGTATAGACTTTAATTTCATAATGGTTCCCTTAAGGAACAGGTCCCAAAAAAAGTATTCAAGTATGGTACTCCATGACCCAGTACCCTTGCATTCCTTGCAACGCCAAAAGGTCCAAAACAACACCAGCACATGCGCACGTTTGCACATGAATTATATAGCTTTCTCTAGCTGTTTCTAAGTTTCTGTAGCCACCCTTGAGGGCCTAGATTTTTCCTGTGGTGCGGAAGATGACGGCTGCGGCTACGAAGCGACCCCCCATGTGTTCCCACGAAGCTATGAACTAAGCCGGAGTGAAGGAACCCGATGGGCTCTTTACTCCCTAAACTTCTCAACCCTTCAACTCCAAGAGCACCACATACAAAGACAAAAGGGTAGTTCTCGAAATTAGGGGTCTCTTTTTAGGGTCTAAAAAGGGTGCCATACTATTTTGGGGACCTAAAGAGGAGGATCCCAATGTAGAGAACCACCCAAATGCAGCAAGCGAGGCTCCCAAGTCTGTCTGGGTTACCCGAGTCCCGAATGAACCGAACGTCTAACATGGATCCGGACCCCTCAGTCCCGCTTAGGGCGACAGGTGCTCTACCGGTGTTTTATCCTATATTCATGACACTGCAAACTTACTTACTAAGTGCCCTGAACCTCTAAGTGGGGTTTAGGTGTAGGCCTTCGCTGTTTCATTTCCAACAGGCCGATGCAAGAGATATATATATATATATATAACTATATTCTATATAGATATATAGATCTATAGATATATATATATATACATAATCTATATATATATATATATGCTACCCCCCCTTAAGACCCACAGAACTAATATAATTCTATAATATCTTAATACAGCATTCCTACATATGCTATCATTCAACATGCAAAAGACGATGTCTGCGAGATAATCCAGTGAAGTATTGCTTTTTTTGCTTATCGACAAGAATTGTATATATTCTTGTAAATGTTTGAATAACTTGTTACAGCATTAACATAATTGCTGCTTGGAACTACGCAAAAGACAATATTCTTGTAAACTGTTGGGAAAATATGCTACAGTACTACTACAATTGCTGATAGGAAATACGCAGAAGACAATATATCCAAGATAGTATAGTAAAGTATTGGATTATTGTCTGCCCCTTCCCAACAAATCCAAGTTTCTGTGCATCCATTCGCCTCAGTTGTGTAGGGGGTGTTATTAGTTAAATACTGGAACCAGCACGCTCTCCTCACAACAGCAGTCTCCAATGGCCGGTTCTTTGTACGGAAGGCAAAACTGTCACGTGAGACTTCAGTAAAACTGTCAGGTGATACTTCGCCGGAAAGACTTGACCAAGTCCCGAATGTCCTCTTCTACTTTCTCTGAGAACATGGCTTTCGCGTCACTGGACCAAGCAGAGCTGTCACAAACTGTACATAAGCGAGACCAGTTACCTGCTTGCCGCTCCATGTACACAGTATGTACACTCTGGCATCCGAGCGCTTGGGTCATGAGGGTTTATATCCACGCCATCGCAGTGCTCCTATGCCGGCCGCGGACGCAGTAGACGCCCATGTGCAGCCTACGTGTACCCTCGGGGCGCATCATAATCCACCATAGGAAGTCGCCTATCAGGTCCCTGCACTGCACGTTAGCATATATGTCCTCTCGAGTATGGATTCGTGGAATCCAGCGTGACCATTGAGACTTGGATCTCTATCTGGGTCGCTAATTTCGCAGCAATCCACCCTGTAGTCGTAGTTCTGACACTCGCCCTTGCCACGGAATTGTTTGCCGTAGACATAGAAGACAATCGAAACATTCCACAAGAACCGATAGGGAGGCAGCGTAGATACTTCACTCAAAGTTGTAGTCCGTCTGGCAGACTTGCTACGTCTTCGACCATGGTAAGTCATGGCTCCAAACTTAACAGCCTAACAGCTTCACTAAGACCAGGACAACAACAAGGGAGACTTGCTGCGTCTTCGGCCGTGGTCAGTCATGAATCCAAACATAACAACTTTGCGAGGACCACTGCAGCAAGAAGGAAACTCTTGTAGTGTAACAGGCTTATCTTTCATATTTTTTCCTCGGCCATAGGAGACGTGCTTGAGCCAGACTTAATGCAGTCGAGTCGCTGTGGGATGAAACTAGTACACAAGCAACACGTTTTCATCCCACCCCACCCCAGCGCGCGCGACGACCCCTTACAGAACTACCCCTTACTAGTCCAGAACTATGCTGCGTCATGAGCTTATACAGCGCAATAGCACGCGTTGTTTTCATGTCCTTTCGCAGCAGAGGTCCCACCGTCTCAACGAGACAATGCAAACATGTCTTCTTCGGTCAAGGCCGCTTCACGAGTCCTTGTCAGCTTAAAGAGCACCTCGCCTATCCACAGCACTGGATGTCCTCAGGCCTGTAGTCGTGCCAGACAATTTCCGTGACCCCAAGCAATTTCGTAGAGCTTGCCCATAGCACACGCTTCTACCTTAGCTTGCGGGAATCTCTGCTTAGTCAAGTAGACGTGCTTGATGAGCGTGTAGTTGCCATTCGACTGCTCCTGAATGAAGTACTGCGTCTTGTAGTCAAAATTGGGATTGCCCTTTAGCTTCATGACAACAGGAAGGTCGCTCCATGCCTTGTTCTTGAAAATCCCCTTGAGATTGTCAATGTCCAGGTCGGTTTTTGGAACGTCATGAGAGACATCAAGGAGGTGCGTCATGAGCTGGCCTGGCGATGAGAACCTTGGTATACAAGGCGATGTAAAGCCAATCTCAAATTCAAAACGAAACAAAGCAAATAAGGCTTTAGATTTATGGTCTAAACCAACAAAAATTCATGTCACGCACAAGCAGCGCGCGGAGAGGAAGATTTGCGATGTTGACGGCACCCAGTGGCATGGGGCCGACACACACATGTTCATGAAGCTCGCGGAGCACCATTTGCTCCGTAGCCTCTTTCGCCTGCGAGAAGTGAATATTGTC